TACAGGAAGATTTGGAACAACGTAAAGTTAGACTTCGAGATCAAGCTGAAAGGTAGGCTACTCACAGACACCAAGAAACTGTTGAACAGCAGAAAGCCAGAGTTCAGTCAAAATCATCAAGGCAAGCTCAACAACACCAATCAAAGACTTCAAGCATAAGCTGCAAGACAGGCTGCTCAAATACAGGAAGATTTGGAACAACGTAAAGTTAGACTTCGAGATCAAGCTGAAAGGTAGGCTACTCAAAGACAGCAAGAAACTGTTGAACAGCACAAAGCCAGAGTTCAGTCAAAATCATCAAGGCAAGCTGGATATAGACAACAAGAAACTTCTGAGCGACGTCAAACCAGACTTCAAGCACAAAAATTAAGACAAATAACTTACAGAGAGCAAGCAACATGATGTACGACTTCAGGCTCAAAGAACAAGACAAGCTCAAACACGATCTAATTTCAAATAAAGCTTTGTTTGATTAAATGCTTTTTTATTTCTCGCATCACAGCTTTTGTCTACTTACTGAATAATTTGCTGAAAAAATACTGATCTATACATTTCAAATCTAAATTTTCACCGTGCAACGCCGGGTAACTCAGCTAGTTATTTGTAATTCACTACGTTTAGTAATGTGACACTGGTTGACGTTTGTATTGTGTACAATTCGCTACGTTTCGTAATGTGAGGCAGCTAGTTGATATTTGTAGACTGCGTCTTCTACAAAAACTTAAATAAAAAAGAAGAAAATAGAGAAAGAGTTATGAACTTGTTTTGATATGTTTTCTGTCGACGTCCACAAAACGCTCTTAAGTGTTGACTGTAATATTCGATTTTAGAGGGTTTTTTTTTAGCTTGTTGACATTGTGATGTCCCAGGAGATGTCATCGTCGACACCGCTCTTCTGTCTAGCCGAAGAAAGACACTTTTTAAGAAGTCAACGTTATTCAGTTACCAAGACTTTGTCCTCTAGTGGCTCAGCGGGAAGCTTGAATGCAATAAAATGTTAAAATCTGGTGTAATACAACATGATCGAAGTGTATACTTATCAATCGTAGGACATCCAAAGTATAATATCTGAGGGTATTATACTGTGATATCAAAGATTTCGGGTGGAAGAAGCAAAAACACCCGCCATAGCTGTAACCCAGTGTTACAACTGTCAACGATAATGACACGTTGCTGCAGCGTATAAGTCTCTCCTACGATGCGTGGACTGTGGTGGAGACTATCATACCTCAAAGTGCCCAAAATATCACAGTAACCAACAATGCTGTAACTGCCAACAGCAACACACAGCTAATTATAAAGGATGTCCTAAATATAAGGACATCAAAACTAGAATATAAAATATACACAATAACTCAAAGCAAACTGAAACAGACACAAACAATCCAGAAATAACCTCTAACAGAAAAACACCACTATTACCTACACCAGCTAAACACAACGCACCTGTACTGACCACAACATACACTTACGCTGAGGCAGCACGGTCACAGCCACAAAAAAAACAACAAAACAATTCGAAAAACAACCAAACAGTTAGAAAAATATAACAAAACAAAAGTCCAATCACAAAAAACCAACAAAACAATTCAAGAAACAACCAAACAGTTAAAACAATACAACAAAACAAAAGTCGAATCACAGAAACCAACAGAACAATTCAAGAAACAACCAAACAGTTAAAAAAATACAACAAAACAAAAGTTCAATCACAAAAAAAAATTCAAGAAACAATCAAACAGTTAAAAAATACAACAAAACAAAAGTTCAATCACAGAAAAAACAACAAAACAATTCGAGAAACAACCAAACAGTTAAAAAATGCAACAAAACAAAAGTCCAATCACAGAAAACCAACAAAACAATTCGAGAAACAACCAAACAGTTAGAGAAATATAACAAAACAAAAGTCCAATCACAAAAAACTAACAGAACAATTCAAGAAACAACCAAACAGTTAAAACAATACAACAAAACAAAAGTCCAATCACAGAAAACCAACAAAACAATTCGAGAAACAACCAAACAGTTAGAAAAATATAACAAACAAAAATCCAATCACAGAAAACTAACAAAACAATTCAAGAAACAACCAAACAGTTTAAAAAATACAACAAAAGTCCCATCACAGAAAACCAATAATCAAATACACTTGTAACCGAACCAAACAATCCAGAAACAAGTCCTATCTTGGAAGCCGTTAAAAATACATTCACGGATTTCATAGAACAGTACAGAGACCCCAAAACAGTACAACAGTATCACACTAGAAATAGAAATAGCCAAACAACACTTTATACCTGTAATACCGCACATCATCCACACATTCATGAGCCCCTACATTACAGAAACAAGTAATCAAATATCTAAAGTCATCTGATACCAGAACTTAACTTACATCAGCCAAAAGATAAAATTCATGAACATGACCTTGAAAAGGATAAATGTAACGAAACTAAAAAAATAAAAGAAAGAAAGAAACCACCAACAAAAACCCAGCAAAGATGTAAAACCAAGTATAAAAACAGCCAAGGGAAGAACGCCTAAACAGGAGAAAATTAAACAACCCACTACAGTAACCAAAGAAGTAAAGCCTAGCCAGAAAAGTACCCTAAAGGAAACAATGAAGAAAAGTACCCAAAGAAGAAGAGGAGAAAGACAAGAAAAAGAAACAAGTATATTTTGAAAGTGAGTCTTCCAGCGGGTCCTAGAGTGACTACGAAACAAGTTCCAAAGAAGAAGAGGAGAAAGACAAGAAAAAGAAACAAGTATATTTTGAAAGTGAGTCTTCCAGCGGGTCCTAGAGTGACTACGAAACAAGTTCCAAAGAAGAAGAGGAGAAAGACAAGAAAAAGAAACAAGTATATTTTGAAAGTGAGTCTTCCAGCGGATCCTAGAGTGACTATGAAACAAGTTCCAAAGAAGAAGACCTGGAATTGTCATTCTTCCAACAATTATAAAAACAGCGTCCACAAAAGGACCTGGAATTGTCATTCTTCCA